GGGAGGATGGAGGCGGAGGGAGCCGGCCCGCCAGCAGCCCGGGGAGCCCGGAGGCCGATTACACACGTTCCGGGGACGCGCTGGGAACCGAGCCGCCCGGGAGAGCCGCTTCCCGTAGAACGCGGCTGCTGGGTCGGGGCGGAGTGCGCCTTCTCCGCCTCGGGGCACGGATATAAGATGGGTTTGCGCGCTCGGAACGCTTCTAGAATAAAAGAGCCCTTATTGTACTCCATGCAAAACGGAAGCATTGCCCAGTTTACTATATGCAAAACAGGCCCTCAATGAACGCACTTTAAAAAATAAAAAAGGGGCTCCTCCCATTTTCATGCCGGAGCTCGCTCCGAAATGCACACATCAAGTGGCAGGTCTCACACCACCTCCCCGCCCCCGGGGCCGAGGAGCCCCTGGCTTTCGTGCCCTTCTGCGGAGAGTTGGGTTGTTTCTCCCGCCGGGGCAGCGGGGCCACGGCGTGCTCCGCTAACGACGCGGCGTTACAACGAAGCCGAAGCTGGGTGGTTAACGGGGCCTGGAGGGAAGAGGCGGGCAAAGGCGCGCCCCCCCCCCCCCTCCTCCCCCCGGTCTCCCCCTGCCGCTGCATGCAAAGCAGACCCTAATGTATGCACGCCGAGGGAGGGGGGCTCGCGAGCACGTTTCTGATTAAGAGAGGGGGAGGAGGAGAGCGTTGGGCATTATGATACACTGGGTGGAAGGGGCCCGCCGGAGGCGAGCTCTGCGCGCGGGGTTAGTAGGCTGAGGGGGGGAGGGGGAAGGAAGGAGGAGAGTTAGGGCGGGGGGATGAATATCCACCGGGTTTACTTTATTGCGGGCAAGAGGGGAAGGCGCCTCTAGCAAGGCGTTAGAAGGCTGCAAGGCTGGAAAAGCCGAGAGTGGAGGGAGGGGTTTGTGCCGGGAGAACTTGCGTTGGCTGAGGCTGGGGGATCAATACCCAGCCTACAGGCCCGGGGGCAGCCTCCATCCCCCCAGCCGAGGTGGAGTTCGCTGGAAGGTCACGCAGCCTTCCTGGACTCCCGCACCCGTACAGCGCACTGCTTGTAACATTACAGCCCGGGGCGACGAATTTGGGAAGGAGGGGGAGGGTCGTGGTGAGCAGGTTGCAGAAAGCTCTGGCCCTCTGGAGGGTGCCCTGCACGCCTCCAGAGAAGGTCCACGGCCTCCTGGTGCTGAAAACCTACGTCCTTCCACCGGCGAGACATTTGCGCAGAGGGAAAGTGGGGTGGGGGCGGGAGGGGAGCAGAGAAAAGGAGAGGGAAAAAAAAAACCAACTCCCCCAACTCTTCCCGGATCGATCATCGTTCCAACCTCGCAGGATGGGGCCCAGATGGTTTGCAAAGCGCACACTCACACAACGCACACACAGAATCAGATTCCGTTGTTAGAACGCGTGGTTTACTAGGTGCAAAAAGGGTGGGAGTAGCGGAAGGGTCTTTAACGGCAGAGCCAGGACTCGACTAAGGGCATAGACACCCCATTGTGGACGGTTTCTCCATTGCAATATACTTGGCGTTAGGCGCTGGGGTTTTGGGTTCGGCGTAGTTGCTCTGATCAGTTACAGATCGGCGACCACGTGGAGTCCCTTAAGCATCCTGATTTGGTCTCTTTCTCTCTCTCTCTCTCTCTCTCTCTCTCTCGCTTATTTTCGTTAGTATTTGCCCCCCTCTTCCTTGATATGCATAACGGTCTGCAGAGGTGATTGGCAAGGGACCGAGTGACAAGCTTTATATAACTGTGTCAACAGGATTTTTTCCCGCCTTCCACCCTTACGCATAAAGCCTGCTGAGCTCAGAGTAACCTCCACTTCAAGCACACTTCATTAAGCACAGGTGGGAGGTCTGCCGGTAGGGTGGCAGCAGCAAGAAGGAAGAAGGTCTTTGAAGATTGTGCTGGGTCCCCATACTCAAGCCTCTGGGTAGAAAAACTCCTCGAGAAATCATCTACTTCGTCCTTTGCCTCCAGACGATCCAAAAAGAGCCAGAGAAATCAGCATCTGGTTTATTGTTGGAGTTTAGGGGGCAAAAATAGTGATAATGGGACTAGCAGTAATGCCTATGTCGCTGGACTCCCATGTAGTCGACCGGGATTCCAGTTCTGGACCCGGTGGCTTGAGACTCAAGCCAGGCGCTTGTGCCTGCTTGCCCAAGATCCCGAGAGGAGAATGGAGGAGAAGGGATTGCGGAGTGACCATACCCCCTGGGCGGTGATTTCTTGTTTTCTCTCTGTCTCTCTCTCTGTCTGGCCAGCCCCCGCGCCCTATAGCAAAAGCCTCTTAAAAAAAAAACAGGTGATAATAACACTTACTGAGTGCTTTCTGTGAACCCAAGGGCACAGTGTGCATTCAATTCTCACCATCCCTATGGGATCATTTTGATTTCACAGATGGGGAAACTGAGGTTTATAGTAAAGTCCTAGGCCATACAGCCAGTAATAACAGGACAAAGAAACGCATTGGGGTCTGACAGTAACCATACTGCTGATCATGAGAAGATAATAGACTGGCCAGTAGGTGGCATGGTGGTTAAGGTGCTGAGCTCCCATATGGTCACAGCGGTTCAAGTCCCAAACCTGGCAGCTTGAAACTCACACCTGGTGTATGTGTGTGTGTGCCAAGAATCCTAGGAGGAGAGTGGAGAAGAGAGAATTGCAGTGTGGCCACCCCTTCTGGGCAGTGATTTTATCACTTTCCCCCCTCTTTCTCTCTGTCTCTGTGTTATGCATGTGCATGAGCACACACGCCCTATGGCCAAAACCTAAAAGAAAAAAAATATGACATACTTTACTCACAGGGCGCCTTCATGCTTTATTTATTTATATATTTATATAAGTACATACTTATAAACATTTATTTTATACTTACACTTTAATTATTTTGTTTTTCTTAAATATACTATATATTCATACAGTCAAAAATGTAAAGGAATTCGCTGGGAAAGCAGCTGCACCAGATCCAAGATGGCGGCCAGCAGGAGACTGATGAAGGAGGGACCTACAGGTGGCATGGTGGCTTTTTTTTTTTTTTTTTTAACCAGAGAGGTACAGAGAAAGAAAGTGAGAAAGCAAGCTGCCAAGTCCAGGACTTGAACCGCACCCGACCATGTGGGAGTGTGTTGGCAGGTGGCATGGTGGTTAAGGGCGCTGGACTCCCATATGTCAGACCACGGTTCAAGTCCCAAACGTGGCAGCTTGCTTTCTCACTTTCTCTTTCTCGCTCTCACTCTGTCCTGCTCTAGTCAAATTAAAATAAAGTTAAAATAAAATAATTCTTAAAAAAATAAAAAAAAGACTGATGAAGGAGCTTGAAATCTGCAAATGTGGAATGAAAAACTTCCTTAACTGAAGCTGATTTATTGACTTGGCAAAGGCTTATTGTTTCTGACAGCCCTCCACATGACAAGGGGGCCTTCAGAATCGAAATCAACTACCCAGCAGAGTACCTATTCAAACCACTGAAGATCACATTTAAAATCTATAGGGTGGCAGGTAACGTGGTGGTGAAGGCGCTGGACTCACACATGGCCGACCACAGTTTGAGTCCTGGACATGGTGGCTTGCTTTCTCACTTTCTTTTTCCCTCTCTCTCTGGCCACATTAAATAATAACAAATAGAGTTAAAATAAATAAATAATTATTTTTTAAAAGGGAGAGGAACCAGCAAGTGGCATGGTGGTTAAGGCGCTGGACACTCCTACATGGTCTACCACAGTTCGAGTCCTGGACCTGGTGGCTTGCTTTCTCGCTTTCTCTCTCATCTTTCCTCGGTCAAATTAAAATAAATGAATAAATAAATAAATAATTAAATAATTCTTTTAAAAAAAAGACCTTTCACTGAACCTCGATGAAAAGGAGCAGGTCTGTCTGCCGGTAATCAATGCTGAAAACTAGAAGCCCATGCCTTATGTGAGAAAATACGTATACAAGTTACTCCATATATGAAAGTATAACAAACCCATTTCCTGAGTCTTGCTTATTTCACTTATTATACCTTGGAAATCATTCCTATCAGTAGACAGTTCTCTCATTCATGGGCAGTATGAAAGAGATGTAGCTAATTTAACCAGTTTTCTTCTGGTAGTCACTTACGTTGTTCCAGATCTATTACATTTCAAACAATGTCGCAGTACACGACCTTGAACATATGTCATTTTGCAAAGGTACAAATATATCTGTTGTATAGATTTCCAGAATTGGAATTGCTGAGTCAAAGGTGTGTCCATTTGTATTTTTGACAGCTATGGTCAAGTTGTCCCCAGTAAAGGTTATACTAATTGATACTCCCACATGCAGCATTTAAGAGTGTCTTTTTCTCTACACCTTGCCAGAAAGGATATTTTGACCTTACTAATCTTTGTCAATTTACTAAAAATGCACCTATTTTAAAAACCTTCCAAATGGGACCAGCAGGTGGCATGGTGGTTAAGGGCTCTGGATTCCCACATGGCTGACCATAGTTTGAGTCTGGGACCTGCCAGCTAGCTTTCTC